GTAACATTGTGATTCATTGTTCAAACAGCATATCAAGGACCAGGACACATTTAAGTGGCCGCTTCTTAAGGGCTTGTTTTCAGGTTTGCTGTTGGAACTTGAAGATCTCAGAAGTAGTAATTGTTTTGCATAAAAGTTGAGATTGTCTAGCAAAAGAGTTAGAGTATCTCCCATGGCGATCCGCCTGTTTTTATTCATGGAAGACTGACAGTAAGGGGCTGTAGTGTCGTGCTACATTGAAACACAAGACGCTGCGTCCGCAGTGTGACGTGCTGCTTCTGTGTCGGGAATATAAATGCGCTGTTTATACCTGCGAGATGGCCGAGACGACCTCCGCGTTGCTCCGTTGGCTGCATTTGTGATATATTCTCATTAATTCACTGAAATTTACTGAGATAACACTTAAAAATCAGGATGACTAAGAGAGGGCAGCCTGAATGCGGAATATTAATGGTGCGACATACATTCTGTCTGAAATTCACGCTTGCAGGTTTTGGTTAATATTGCTCTGAAAGGGGTTAAACCTTAGCATACATAACAGAACTTTCTAGTAGGATAGAAGACTCAGGACATATTTACGAACCAAGTCATTTCCATACGTCACTGAAGCTTCAGTAAATACTGTTCCTTTTAATTCCATCACAGATTAGCGTGAATAGTGTCAGGCTGAGATGTTTTATTAAAGTCCTTCAAGGCTTCACAGCCACAACCCCCTGGAAAACCACCAGCTCCATCGTTCACATTCATCAGATGAGAAATGCGCCATGGGTGTACCCTTCCTGTAGTATTCTACTGTTACAGCCAACAGATCCAGCCATCTAAAGCAAGATATATAGGATCCATACTTTGTTTTTGGCCAATGAACATCGTATTAAACCTGTACAGACCATACCTGACTTTGCTATAAAATTACAAACCAGAAATATGATTTTAAAATGTTAACAAAAAACAGCCTTAAATTACCACTTTTCTTCATACTGTATATAGACTCTCCTGACCTGTCTAGTTCTTCCCATGAAGACAGAATCTTGGCACTCAAAATGTTTTTGTACTCCAGAACGTCTGGAAATTGAGAAGAGGAGGTCGAAACAGGCTTTGGATGACATGGAGAACCTGCGTCAGAAGGAGGTGCGAAAACAAACGCCTCGTTAGTCCAGTGGGAGAATTGCTGATTAGCAGTTTGACGGAGCGCTCTGCTGATTGGCAGTTTGACGGAGCGCTCTGCTGATTGGCAGTTTGACGGAGCGCTCTGCTGATTGGCAGTTTGACGGAGCGCTCTGTTTCCCACCAGCACTGACACCGTCAAAGCAGTTACGCACTCCTCATGCGCCAGATGTCTGAATCTTCACATATTTTTTTTATTTCTGCATATTCTGAACAATTAGGATAGCTTTTTCATATCAGTCCTTTAACTGTTACCTAAGTTCAGCAGCGTAAAGAGAGTCAAGTAGTGTAGCCCAGCAGAGACTGCTACATGCTGATGATCAGCTTCTGCCTCTGGCCGAGCTCTCCAACCAACCAAGCTGTTCACCGAACTATTAGTCTCCGATAATTTATTCCTTTTTTGCTGCCTTCAGGTATTCAATAATTTTTGAATTTCTAATATTTAAAAGTGCAGCCTTGTGTCGACTTGCATCCACATTTGGGACAGGGACCACCAGACACAAGTCAATTTTGGCAAATCTCAATACTGTCGCTCTCTCAGATATACATTACTGTATGCACACTGTATTACAAGATAGATATGGACAGTGGATCATTATGCAGCTGGCAGTGCTGCCCAGTCTTCTTCACCTGTTACAATAAGCGATACACTGGCTAATGTCCTGCTGCGTCTTCTTTTTGGGGGTCTCTCGATTAGTATATATTATTTACTATGGACCTCAGATGTAAATCTGACCGGATGCGACTCAATCAGGCATAACTCAGCATAAGACCGTTTCATTTGACCGTCCAGGTTGCACTTTACCTCCTTTTGCACTGTGAGGTTTTATTTCAGGAGTTTAAGCTGATACCTTTATCCAAAGCACCATAGCTGCCGCATAACAGTTACCTCCCTCGTCCCTGTAGGTAGATCACATGACCCGTCACCTGGAGGAGACGGAGCGTACGTTGCAGGATCGCGTCATCAGGTTGGAGGGGAGCCGTATTCAGTTGGAGGAGGTGAGGGCACCATCGTCCCATTGGATCAACCCTAGGTTGCTTCATACTTCTGATACCCGCCTGTGTCGTTTCCCCTGGCTTAAGTCACTCCAGGGGAGCTTTGGTCGGGTTTGAATCGTTTAAGGAGTCCTAACTCCACGCGGTCTGTTCCTCCAGGAGCTGAGCCGCGCCAAGGCGGCCAGCGTGACGGAGCGGGCACAGGCGGAGGAGGAACTGGGGAAGGTACGCGCCCAGGTGCGACTGGAGGAGGTAGGTGAAGCCCGTTTGGGAGCTGGAGCTCTGTGCTCTCCAGATGCCTCGATGCGCCTCCACAGGAAGCTGCACGGTGGTGATAATGCTGCAACATGTATCAGTGTCTATTTCAGTCGCTCCTTCAAGCCGGCTGATCTCTTGTTTCCGGATGGGGCATTAGTCAGCTGACAGTTTGTTTCCCGTCTCTCAAAGAATATCACTGTGCTGCTGTCTAACTAAAGTTATGCATCCAAAGGAGTCTGAAATATGGAAAGGTATTGGTTTGAATCATGGCTTTTTGCTGTGTCCTCCAATGGAAGATTAATTTGCTAATTGTTCCTCGCATTTCCATATAAATGGCATTATGCAACTCGCCAGTGCCCAGGGGGTGTTGTTAAATTAATTAACCAGCCTGGCTAAAGTTATTAACAATATGGAGGAAAAGCTGGTACCCTTGATCCTTCAGGGAGAATTTGGAACATGCCTCAGCGCCTGCCTCAGCGCCTGCCTCAGCACCTGCCTCAGCGCCTGCCTCAGCACCTGCCTCAGTGCCTGCCTCTCACTCTCCCCCGATGCTCGTGGCTGTGTTCAGCCCCTGGGTTTTAGTGCATCAACTGAGTCATTCCCATCTGTTGAAACCCTTTGCATCATCAGAATGGATTTTTGGTGGAAAACATTTGAGTGCTTTTTGTGACACGGTCATCTAAACTCTCCGGTGGACCCACAGCAGCAGCACCTGAGTGGCCTGGAGGAGAAGCTGCGCGTCTTGAGGCAGTCGAGGGATGAGTCGCAGACCCACTGCTCCCAGCAGAAGCAGAGCATCGCTGAGCTGCAGGCCCGCAACAGCCAGCAGTGTCTGGAGATGGATGGGCTTCACAGGAGGATTGAGGAGCTGCAGCAGGTGGGCCAGTGAGAACAGTATTCATAATAACAGAGGCTGTCTGTCTCTTGGGGGACTAAGGCCTGTGTGTTACTATGTCACTTTCTTCAGTTACCGTAAGAGGGCTTGTTAGGTTAACAGAAGCACTGTTGTGCTCAGAATTGTGTGGCCAGTACATCTGTGATACAAACAGCGTGTGGTGATGGCCATATGTCACGCAAACATGCCTGTCTGGTGACCAGGAGGTCAGCCGGAAGGAGCAGGAGAAGGTGGCAGATCTGAACCGTGTGAAGGTGGAGCTTCAGGAGCAGATTGGGCATCTGCAAGTGGAGAGGACTGCTCAGGGGGCGCTGAGAGAGAAGATCGCCGCCCTGGAAAGGGAGATGAAAGGTGGGCCAAGCCGCACGTGTCCTTCCACACAGCTGTCAGGCAGATGGAGACAGAGGCTGACATCTTGGCCCGTTTACCTACTGTTCCCGCCTTAATATTCCCTGGGTTGGCTCTGGATCGCTGCAGCCCTGACTCAACAATTGAAAATGGGTCAATAGATATATGGATAATATATAGTAGGTTAGTCTGCGCACTATTAGACATGGAGCCTCAGTTCTTTGGGATTTGAAATGGCAAAATGATACAATTCTGTGATGAACAAAATGTTTTTTTTGGGAATAGCTACTGCATCCATAAACTACAGAGGGGGTACCATCCAATCATTTTATAGTAACAAGGACATGAATTATAAGTTTGATATGGATCATTCGTCTCGATGAAATTATAAATTTGCCTGACAGACCTGTTTCTCCTGGGGTGGGGTCCCAGTATTAGGCAGTAACCACAGGGAGGCCATTCTGGACAAGGAAAGCGAGATCTCTTCCCTGTTTGAGAAACTCCGGCTCCGGGAGGCTGAGATCCACCGCATCCGAGAGGACGAGGCGCAGAGGGCAAGCTTCCTGCAGAATGCTATCCTGGCCTATGTGCAAGGATCACCCCTGAGTCACTACAGCCCCAAAAAGTGACCTGGTCTCTTCAATCCAGACTTCAGATTGCCATTCTGAGCTTCCTAGCCTTGCAAAAGGGCGGCTTTCACCGCTCAGGGACAACAATGTCCTTCAACTTTTTACTTTTCTGCAAAATACCAATTGTAACACTTGTGCACAACAAGACTCAATAAATTCTCTTTTGCATTTTTTATAATGTAATACACTTTTTACCCAGCTGTTTCATAAGGTGCTTAAATAAACATTACTGTGATGAAACATCATGTAAAATCATTGTAGATTTTTCTTGTATTTCGAAGTATAATCATGAACACACAAACATGGGAGTGTCTCACCAATCTCCTCTTCAGGTTATCAAATGCTCTGCACTTGGTAGCCTTCCTGATGAATTGCAACTGTTTGCTATAAATTATTTGGTGTTAATATTTGAATACATTTTGAACTCCGTTGGACTGCATTCTAATGGAGTTAACTGTATAAGGAATTGAATTTCAAATTTGATATGTATTTCGATTGCTTTTTTTACAGCATTGTAATTTCATTGTGTTTTGTATTTAATAAATTGCTTTTTTTAATTGGTTGGATTAAACATCTCAGTGGAATTCTTCCGGCAACCCTTATAAAGTAATTGAATGCCTTAATTTCATCAGGGCAATTATGACTTAGGAGCGCGTATATTTATGCGCATCCCATTGCTGTCGGACGCTGATCCCTAGTTTCTCTCTAGCCCTTTAAATGCGCTCGTTGTTTTCCGGAGCTTCTCCGAGAGCCACGCTGCGGCGTGAGCGCGGACCGAGCCAGCCAGTTATTACAGATCTGCTGGACCGGGAGCCCACCGAAGGGTCACTTTCCAACAGCTTTGGGACGCGGTTGTTTCACGGCATATTTTCCCCAAATGCAGGCCATTAAATGTGTGGTCGTTGGCGACGGGTAAGATGCAATTCCTGGCGCCGCTGATTTTTTTTTTCGGTTTTTACCCGTGAGACTATATGGTTGATTGTAATTGTTGCAAGAAGGGCTGGGGCTCTGTTGGGGAAACGGGAGCTTAATTCATACCGCCGTTCATAAAGGCGGTGTGGGAATTTCATCACTGTGAATCGTTTAATATTTGTCACTAGTCGTGCGTTCAATGTGTTTTCATTCGATTATAGTTATAGTCGATTAAATTTGCGAGTAAATTCTAAATATAGGTGATGCAAAGGGATGGGCGAGCTGACCATCCTACTTCGGTACGAGCGTTTGATCAAGCGCTTAACCCATCTTCCCTTCATGAAGACCATTGGCGATTTACGATGTCGCTCGTATGTCACATCTAGGCGGTCGTAGGAAAAAAGCAACGCTGAACCTATGATCCTTATAAATAACCATCATGGTATATTTAATATGTTGTGTTGGAGGCGTGTATCTTTTAATACACCCTGTTTGCTTGCGACTCACGCAGCAGAGTTGCTTGAAAAGACAGCTCCGCGATAATGTTTGTATTTCACTGACACTTAGAATTAAAATGTGTAGATTTGTTCTTGGATGGCGACACAAGCTGCTTCTGAAATATATCATTACTGAATGCGTGGCGGTGGCACCGGGGCGCAGGTTCTCGCGGCTGTAGTCCTGTAAGAATGGACTCACCGGATTGCCTAAGTGACGGAGGTATGTGGTTAATTTCTATAACTTTAATTAATGACATACTTGATGATGATTCAACATCCACACTAGGAATTGAAGTCTCTACGTTGTGCCAACCCTTAAGATTTTTTATTTAAAGCAACCCACTTTTTAAAAAGCATTTTAAGTGATTCAGATAGACGGCACTACTCAGCCCTGTCACTAGCCAAAAACAAAATCCGAGCTTTATTTATGAAATTTTAGCCAGGTTCTGCACAGCGGGCAGATCAGTTGAATCATGTAAATTATGTATAGGCACTGTACAGTAATGCTATCTGAATGTTTTAAAAATTATTAGTTATTGCATGATGTGTTCAGTTTTGAAAAATAGCTGAAGTCCAATGAACATCCTGAGACAATATTTAAGTGACTCTTCGGATCTCCTTCCAGTGTAGCTGTTCAGAGTGTGTGGCATTTTGTGTGTTTACCACAGGCTATCCGTGCTGTTATCTCTGAGGACCGTATGGAATGTGCGTGCTTGAGTGTGGATGGACAGCATCGTGGTGATTATGGGGACTGCTACCCCTTCCTGATCAACTGACACGGTTTTAGTGGGGGGAACGAAAAAACAAATAGATGCTTCTAAAATTGAAAAATAAGTAGCCGATTGAACATTTGAATGATGATCAGCTGAAACTTTGTAGAATAACTCATCACTTGCCCTTGAAATTGATCAGTACTAATCATATTACATATGGGATCTTGTGGCAGGATCTTAAACTCGGCAGTCCAAAGTCTATTAGAATAGGGTTCCAAACAAGCTTTTGTTTTCTTGACTCTGGTCAAGTTTGATGGTTAGAGCAATGCAAGGTAGGATAAGAAGGATTTCTGGGTTGTAAAGAGTTAAGTGAGCAGTTTTAGTGTCACATGACTAGTGGAAGTCAGCCCCTCCCAATAACAGAGTCTTCAGAAGAATGATTTTCACAGCTGCGTGGCTCAGACTGAGTTCTTGCATTGGGTCCGGCTGCCCAAACTCTCTTCACCTTCCCCTGCCTCCTTCCTCCTCCTGATCTTTGACCCCCCCCCCCCCCCCGATTTGTGGCAGGACTGTGTGTTCTCCCACAGAGCTGTCAGTTCACATAGCCCCTTTCCCAGTCAGTGAGTGTGCCCCCCAGTGATGTTTATGTAGGGCAGTGCCTGTCACATCCAGAGAGGGATGGAGGGATGTACACTCCTCTCTGGGCTAGCTACCCAGCTTGTTAACTGGTGCTTTTCAGAACGGGTTACCAAAGGCACCGAACAATGTTTGTATTTGTGCTTCCCTACAGTTTAGCGGTACAGAATCACATAAAGAATCCACAATTAAGCAACTTCAGCTGCACAGAAACGGAAATCATTTCAGGGACTACAAACATTCATAAATAAGCACATATGTGACCCGTGTACATTAGGTATATCATATAATTCATTTAATTTGATCCTGATCCCAAGTTAACACTGAAAAGCTGTTGTGTGGTGTTTTTCTTTTGGGGGGGGGGGTTGGATATTGGTAACCATCGGTTAAGCTGCCCTTTTGAATGAGCCATGGTAACTAGCCGGACAGCCTGGTGCAGAGTGCCACTTACCTGGGTCCGAATTCCCCTCCAGCAGTGATACCTCTGGCCACCTGGTTTAGGTCGGAGATTTAAAGGAGACCCATGAGTTTCCTGGTGGAAGAGATTCCTGGAGTTTAAAGGCAGCCGTGTTGTAAATGTGTCTCTGATCGTGTGGGCAGTGCCGAACACTTCACTGCATGCTAAAGCTCCTCAGCTATTCATTTTTCATTACCTTAATCGTTAAGGGACTCTGTGGGTTGTTGATAGTCTAAAAAATTGCCCTGCATTACTTTTACTAACCTTTACCCCTTTTTTTAAGGGGCAAAAATATTATTTTTAGCTTTGTCAGCACTAAGATCCAAAAAGGTGGTTGAAGATCATCAATGCCATGGTCAGGACTCAATCAGCAGCCCCATTTCTAATTACTGAAGTGTTTAGCTGGAGATAAAACCCCCCACACACTGAGCTCCTCCAGGACTGAGAACCTCTCCCACAGGCTGTTCCATACATACCGTATTAGAAAAGTCTTTTGCTTTAGTATTATACAATATAAAAACTCGAAGGCTTACTCAACTCTGCAAGGAAACGAGAAAATGATGGCTTAATATCAAGAGTCACTTTTGGTGGCTTCTTCACTGGTGTCACTGACTCTCTGACCCACGTTCGCTGGCTCTCTGCTGCCTCTACAATGGATGCACAAAGACCTGCAAGAGTAGTTGGTAAGACAGCTGGGGATGAGAATGTGACGAGAGCGTGGATCTAAGCGGCTAAAGCGAGGCACCTCTTGGAGGCCGGGTGACGGATAGGAGCTAAAATCGGCCGACGGTTCTGGGTCTCTTCGGCAACGGCCCTAAGAGTCCGGCTTTGTGGTGATTCACTGTCCTCCCTCCGTTGTTTGTGTCTTCCAGGGCCGTGGGTAAGACCTGCCTGCTCATCAGTTACACCACCAATGCCTTCCCTGGAGAGTACATCCCCACAGTGTGAGTATGGACCACAGACCTTGATTTCCAGCTCACATAGGCTCTCACAATCTTGTCTATGCTGTACAAAGTGATACCTTCATTTCAGAGTGAGCACTTCCGGTCCTGATGCTGGCTTCGTCCAACCTCAGCGCGCTCTGTCAATAATAATGATATCAAATGACCTCACCTCCTACTCTCCTGTGTCCAGCATTCAGTGAAAACGTATCTTTGAGGAGTCTCGTGGACTGAATTGCCCAACAAGTTTTGTTTAAAAACATGGAAGAAATCTCAGTTTTTAGATTGAAGTTGTTGTGGGATTAGCTGAATGAACTTCTTCCCTGTTTAGCTTTGATAACTACTCCGCCAATGTTATGGTGGACGGGAAGCCAGTCAACCTGGGCCTGTGGGACACGGCAGGACAGGAGGACTACGACCGTCTCAGACCGCTGTCCTACCCACAAACGGTATGGTGTCCGGCCTGGCCCACTTGCATGAACACCGTGCCCCTATTGGCTGTGTTATTAAACCCGCAGCTGATTGGCCGGGGCAGTCGGAGACTGAGGGAGTCACTAGGAGCCTTGGGGCTGGCATAGAATCAGAGAGTTACTTAATGCTTCCCCCCCCCAGTGGATATTCTCCTGGAGCCCACATTGTCCTGTGAGTGACAGGTCGAGTCAGGTGACCTTCCCACTGTTCCACATGCCAGTGACCCCCCCCCCACCACCTTGCCTGTTACCTGACCTGAATTGCAATGGCAGAAACTCTGGAGCCTTCCTGCTGCTACACAGGAATCTCTTGTGTGCCAGATACAGCCGCCCTCCCCACCCCCGTCTAAACCAACAGCCACTTTATAAGTTTGTGTGTGCCCCTTTAAATCTTTCAAAATATTTCACATTACTCCAGCAATGCATTGTGCTTCGATTATAATGCAGGGTGGTGCTGGAGAGGCCATGACACCCCGAGCGCTGGATGCTCTGAACTTCACAGACTAAAAGAATGATCATGTTTTGTGCAGTAGCTCTGTAATGAGGTCATGTAATAATAATTGCTCCCAGCTGAAGGAACCTCACAGATGCTGTGAGCTCTAAGCTTGCAAGATTTACGCCGTAACTGACCATTTTGAGCCTGCTCCGTTTGTCTTTTTTTTTGTTGTTCTTGCTCTCTCGATACGGGATTTACAGTGTGTTGTTTTGAGTGTGTGGCAGATTAATGTTGCCATTAAAGTGACGGATCCCAAAGAGATGAGGGGGGGGGGTGCGGGGGTGTGTAAGGCCTGTATGTTGGACGCCGCTTGTTTAATGCTCCCTCACTGTGTGCTGCAGCATTGTTGGCCACCTTCTTGGTATGAATATGCCCCCCCACCCCCTGCTTCTTCCATCAGGACGTGTTCTTGATATGCTTCTCCCTGGTGAGCCCGGCATCTTTTGAGAACGTCAGAGCAAAGGTCAGCGTGGGCCATGCTGCCCTTATTCGCACACTGCTGTCTGCACCCTTCTCTGTCTGGCAGTGTTTCCCAAACTGGTTCTTGGAGACCCACAGACAGTCCACGTTTTTGCTGCCTCCCATCTCCTCTTAACGAGGGTGCAAAAATGTGGACTGTCTGTGGGTCTCCAAGGACCAGATTGGGAAACACTGCTCTGCGGTGTTCACTATCACAGCATCACACTTAAATATTGCACAGCTCTACTGCATGGATGCTTCCTGAAATAATGCCAGGGAGGTCCCCATCTTCGGGCTACAATCACCTTCACCGTGAAGCTTCAACATTGCAGCTCAGTCCTATCTGTGGATTTAGAAATCACCTCTAGTTACACTACAGCTTGATACTTGCACAACAACATCTTCAAGACTTACACTGTATCCCACACCGTGTTTTTATCCCAAAAACACTCGACTCAAGAGTTCTTTAGTGTCAACACATCCATGTACTGTATGAGTATACAGTGCAATGAAGTACAGTTTCCCCTGGTCCCCTATGGTCCTGCACTCAAATACAAATGCAATAAATAAACTTATAACATCCACAATGTAATGCAGTATAAACACAATATTGCAGTGTCAAAACCCTTTGCTATGCTGTGTTGAACCTCACCCTCTGTTCTGACTGCTACACAGTGGTATCCAGAAGTACGACACCACTGCCCAAACACCCCCATAATCCTGGTGGGCACCAAGCTGGACCTGAGGGACGATAAGGACACGATTGAGCGTCTCAGGGATAAGAAGCTGGCCCCCATCACATATCCCCAGGGGCTGGCAATGGCCCGGGAGATAGGTGGGTCTGCATTTTCTGCGTGCCAGTGCCCTATTCTGGCACATTAGAAGATACCCAAGGAAGCCTTTGGCCACATGGCAGTAAGTCGCCACCGTCTTGGCCCCGTTCTGGTGCACCTTGGTTTAAGCACATTAGCTTTGCTCCAGGGTGCATAGAGGAGCATTGTGGGCTACTGCCAGGGGTGTGGGCAGCAGAGCCAATGAAAGATGTCAGGAGAAGAAAGTGGGCAGCCCTGGGAAGTGACCCCCCAGGCAGCATGAAAGGGGCTTTTGTGCGACGCTCAGCACTCTTCGTATGAGGAGCCGAGATCGACAAACGCCAGCAAAGGCATCAGCAAGTCGCCGGAAAGGCCATTATCACCGAGCTTTAGTCCTGTTTACCGTGACTCTTTCCTATGCCGTCGTATTTTCACCGACGGACCGCATGCCGATGCTCTAATGTCAGGTTCCCTAGCAACAGTGTACCAGTGAATTCGGCGTGGTAAACAACTGGGCAAAGACGCCCCTGTGCATCGCCACTTTGTTTTGTTTTTTTCTGAAGAAAGTCCGATTCTTAGAAAAAGCCTAGGATTGTTTTGTACTCTCATATACTCGTAATATGTTTTAGAGACTAAGACATTAAAACATGACCAATTTTACATGCATGTTAATTTTGCAGCAAAAGAATTTTTAATTGTCTGTTCTGGTAAAAGGTTGTTATGTGTATAGATTCCTCCACACATTCTCCACAATATTATGCTGTTCTGTTTGTCCTATTATGCTCATTGGTAATAGGCAGGACATACTGTGGATGGAATGCCAGTCCATCGCAGTGCAAACACACACTGTGTCAATTAGGGACGTCGGATCACCTAAACTGCAGGGGGAGGGGGGCACTGGAGCATCAAATCCACACACAGCAGAAATGGCAAGGCAGCCCCCCCTCTCAGCAAGCCTCTTCTCCATTTGTAGATTCCACAGGAATTTACTAAACGTCTCGGGTCGTTACTGCAGATGGGATCCTTCTAAAGGCTTTAAGGCTCCACTGTCAAGGGCAGCAGAACAGAGAGCGGCTTTTCGTCATAGTAAGTGACCGGAAAGGTGTGACCCGGCTTCTGAATCCCTTCTCCGTGTGCCAGGGTCCGTGAAGTACCTGGAGTGTTCAGCTTTGACCCAGCGAGGCCTGAAGACGGTGTTCGACGAGGCCATCCGCGCCGTTCTCTGCCCTCCGCCGGTCAAGAAGCATGGCAAGAAGTGCACGGTTTTCTGAGGGGGGGAGGGGGGGGAGGGGGAGGAGTTGATTCCCCGGGGGCCACTGGGCAGGCATTGGCTGTGGGGTGGGGACACTTCTGCTACAGCAGACGCATAACAAATCATCAGGCATTTTCTTGAGGGACGTCCACTCTAACTACTCATAAGGACACTTCACACACGGGCAGGTGGGTTAGGGAGCCGTTATCAGCTGGCCGAAGCAGGAGAGAGCAAAGGAGATGTGGGTGTGTGCTTAGGTCCCCATCTTTATGGGATTCTCCACAGATTTGCCTTAATTGATCAGTCATAACTAAAGGCTTTGTTGCAACAGAGGGGGCAATGACCAGCCATCAGTGTTCCATAGATGTATTCTGTATTCACCAAGTATAGTCACAAAAATGTCAGCTTTGAACTGTCGCAGTCTACATTTGCTCTGATCAGAACGGATGTTTCGCAGAGTTGATTTAGAGGTGCTGTTGCGGTATGGAAATTGCACGGACGATTTACTTGCAGTCTGTCATTTGAGAGACGTGATAGTGTAGTCGTGAAAAGCTGGGGATTAAGAGACTTGTCACGCTTGATAGGTAGCCGCAGTTTCTAACTTCTTGTGTTTTAGTACTCTTGAAGTTCTTCCTGGAAAGTAGACAGCACGTTTCTTAAGTCACATTATCTAGAAAGTACAAGGAGTATGTGGTGTCTGTTTGGCCAACCCTCTGTACCTTTCAGAAGCATATTCACGCAGCCTTATCACCAAATCGGCATTGCCTTCTGCAGAGCATCTATAGCCTCCTTTAAGGTGCTTAAACCTACACAGGAAACACCATCCTTCAGGTGGATGTGTTTTTGTCCTCGTAAACTGAAACCCTCACTTCTGCTTAGTCAAGTTCACTCAGAATATGTTTTCTGGATCTCCGGTGTTGTGGGAAATGACTGTGAGCTACGGTTGAGCCATTGTGGTTATTTTTAAGGACTAACATACCACAAACCATATAACACTGCTGCTTAAATAGCCTCTTCACGTTGTTGTATTTGCATCCAGTCTTAGACCCACTTGTCCTTACTTAGATTTCATGTGCATATGCCATATGGGTGTGTGTGTGTGTTCTGTGGTGCACGCAGCATTTCAGTAACCACTGTAAAGTACTCGCATTACTGCGTTTATTAATTTGTAACAATTGAAAGTGGCAGAGAAATAAAGAATATAAAAGTGTGTTAAATATTTAACCTTTGAAAAAAGACATGAATTTATAAATGAAAATATGTTTTAACCTAAAAATGAACGTTTCATTTTAAGAACAAAATTCATTTTGACATTAGGATGCTGGGATGATGCCAGCTATGCGTTTTTTTGTGATGTAAAATTAATTTAGTAGTGCATACGACTTAAAACACATCTGGATTACTGAGGCCACAAATGTCAGGTTTAGTACTGATAAAAATTAGTCTTCCTCTGCTGGTGAGCAGTGGTATTTTCGATTTCGTCACAACACTGGATAATGAATTCTGTTGGCATGGCAACTACATCCACGTAGTGAAAGATGACAGCATGGTCAGGGAGTAGAGTCTGAAATGTTTCTCTTAATGCTTCAGAACCTGCATGGGAACTATTTGGTAATCTATTTGTAGAGTCTGTTTGAGATCTGACAAGAAAAGTGTTTCATTTAAAATATGCTCCGTGTTTGTTAGTCTTTATTTTGTATTACTTTTACTGTCAGAGTATTGTGAGAATTTTCCATTTTGTACAATAAATATAAACATAACTAAAGTGACGTCTTGGTAATGATTCCATTGGCATTACCTAAAGTGGACGTTTTATAAAGAACGTACTTAAGTCAGTTTTGGTCTGCATATCTCTGAATTTTTTATTTTAAAATAAAAATTTGGGCTCTCTATGTCCGGTGTACATTGATGCTACAAAATCACATGATTTACTGGGGAATCATTATAATGTCAAGACAGCACAGCGGATCATCTGCCTCCTGACTTGTCTAAAGCATCGTATTTAGTCTGTGGCCAACAAGCAGTTGATTGGGGCAACAAAGGTTTGCAATTGAGCTTCAGGAGGCCAGGAATCCACCATCCACTGGCAGGATGACTCCATTGGTCATGGCGCTCTTGTCACTGAGCAGGAACAGGATGGAGTTCACCACATCTTCTACCTCTGCAGAGTGAACATACATATCATGGTGTACTAACAGGTATCCTACATTCCCACACGTCTCCTTCCTCCGAACTTCAGCAGAGTTACCAAGGGAAAATCTGTTGCCACAGTTTACAGGGTAGATGATGGGGTGCATAATGTATCTGCATACTCTCTAGGTTTCCTAGTTAGAGTTGGCGGTGACGCAAACACCAACCCCCCAATTATATCTAATGAGACTAATGTGGATCCAGACCTGCAAATTTCCCCATGGGGATGTGATCTTTCATAGCTTTCGCCTTCACTTGGTCACTCCAGCCCAGTCGTCCCATGTCAGTCATCACCACTGTGGGGTTGACTGAGTTTACTCGGATCTGCGGGGACAAATAAAATAACTTTGATGCATCTTCTGGACTATGTAATATGTTACATATTTACATAAATCAGTAACAAACATATACAGGCACAGACAGTACCTGATAAGGACCAAGCTCCAAGGACATCACTCTGGTTAGCATATCCAGAGCACCTTTGGTGGCACCTTCAGAGAAGACATGCAGAACACATTAGGCTCACCACGTTACCAAACAGCAGTGATGTGCAATTTGCCCCCTCTAATGTCTGTTTTAGGTATAACACCACTGAGGCAGGATGACACGGCAGCTCAAGCATGTCTCACTCACAGTAAAGCGCATGGTCCTTCAGAGCACGCTGGGAGGCCTGGCTGGAGACGTTCACGATGGAGCCACCAGAGCCCCTGGCCTTCATTCCCTTAGCCACGATCTGCACCAACATCATCCAGAGAGCATCACAGCATTACTTACACTCCCAACAGCACTGGCGGCAATTGGGAGTCCAGCTACCAGAAGTCAATCCTTCCAGCACAGAACTAAGTAAGAGGTTAGTGAAGGAGACCCAAGATGACATCATTCTACGTGGCTTCCAGCTTCAAAACAAATAAATGACCATCAATGACCTTCGGAATTAGGGCTATCAGCGGAGTCTCACCTGTGCAACATGCAGAGCTCCTTTCACGTTTATGTTGAACAATCTGAAATAAAAATGCAGATGTTACCCGAATGACTTGGTACCTGCATTAATTACAATAATTATCCTAAAAATTCAACTGAAAATGATTTCTCATAAAAATGATGTGACCCTTAAGAATGTGCAATACTGATACACACAAAATGGGCTATCACTGAACCAAACTTCGAAGCGGAGTCATATCGACCGATGATGTGCAATCTTGCCTGAGTACATTTAGAGGCAGCAAGAGGCATGTCAGGGTGCTAGAGATCATTGTAACAAATGCCTTGCTTTACTGGAGGATTAAAAATGATTCAGGTGAATTATCATGCAGGGAAAACCACTTTCATGGAGGACGGGGTGGCAAAACAGTGGAGTCACAAGTTAAACATTCAAAGGGAACATCAAATGTAGGCAATGCAGCCAAATTTAAATGAGTCATCAGACCCATCACCCAACAAATTTAGAAGCTGAAAAAAATGAAAAGGCACCATTCGTGCCTTTTGGTAAACTCTAAATTAATGTAAAATAAATGTCTCTAAATTAAAAACCTGCAGCAGAAACCCCCAACCCCCTTTTCAGCCTTTACCTGTCAAACTGCTCAGGAGTGACTTCTAGGAACGGCGTGAGTATCCCAACAGCTGCATTGTTTACCAGCAGGTCCACTGGTCCCAAGTCCTTCAAGGCCACATCAGTGGCATCCCAGTCTGACAGGTCCACACACACTGGCTTAATGGAGGGACACTAGGAAGGAAGCACATCAGAAAGACAGAGGTACTGCTCCCTGTGAGGAATAACAGTCTCAAATTCAGAGAGGAATACAGAGAGATTATAGCTCCAATCGGGGTACAGTAATCTCTCGGGAACGTGGTCAATACCTCAGAGACGAGACTATCTAGGTCGGCCTGGGTACGTGTAACAGCAATGACCTCAGCTCCACCACGGGCAAGCGCCAGAGCAGCAGCTCGACCGATCCCTAAAACGGCAAAAGACACTAAAGCATTTCAGTAACTTAAACATCAAGTGACTTGTCTTATGATCCATCTACACAGAAGCGCCCAAGTGACGCGTTAACCGAATGATTAGAGGAGCTTGCGCCGTGAAACTTCACGTCATGAAGATAAGGCACCGCGGCTCTCCTACCTACCTTTGCCTGCGCCCGTTACCACAGCTCGTTTGCTTTTAAATGAGATTTCCATGTTGGCGAGTTGAAAGCAAAACGTTTACATCTGCATAGAGTTAACAAAAACATTAGTAGGACATTATTAGTAGGAGAGTAAGACAAAAAAATCATGCATTTAGGTCAAAACCGACATTTCAGAGAACTAGAAAAACCAAATAACCAGGCTAGTTTTACATTTCAGTTGTTGGTATATATTTTATGTTGCTGATATATCCCTATATAATCATACTATCATATACAAATGTACGGTGACCATATTCAGCTTTGCAAAAAACAGGACACTGGGTGCAGGAGGCAAAGAGGCATCAGAGCAACGCAAATATGCACACGGGAAGTATTCTGACTGGAGATAGCAATTGTCAACATAAAGCAAAGCGAAATCCCGTACATTTTAAGAACTTTTAGGTCCCAAAAAGAGACGTATGGTCACCCTAACTAATATATTAAGGGCGAATCGTCTTACCAGCAGATCGGAATTACGCAACACGACCCGGAAATGTTCTAACAGGAATATGATATGGATAACTTTTAGTTAAACAGTTATATCGGCTGTATAATTAACTTTTCACTTTGGAGGCAGTTGGTGGTACTTAACCGCAGGAGTCCTCCGTGACTGGCTTATGTTTACATAATTCATAATACAAACATAAAAGTTTCAGAGTCAGATACGGGGATATTGTCTACTGCGAAATGATCACTGATACTTCAAGTCTTCACATTTATTAAGCAAATTTCATTTTTATGTATAACGCAATTTTCCGACAGATATGGATGTGAATATCATGTTTGCACATCATCTCAGCAGCGCGAAGCTGGGAAGAATAATGGGGGGGGCGGCACCGGTTACTATTGTAATACCTTCAGGTATTATGTGTTACATGTTATTCTGTTAAGTTTAGGTTCTGTACTTATGAGGGTGTGGTTATGGAATTGCGTGTGACGTGGGACGGGAGTTCGGGGGTGGAGAGCTGGGGTGAGCGAATTGCGTCTCGGGGATAGAGAGAGATCGGGGGTTTTGGTTTTTCGTTTGAAGTTGCTGTCTGTGGACATTTTCCACGGCCGCTTGCTGTTATTAAATCATCGTTCTGCAGTAAACTCTCTGAGATCTTGGTTCTTAAATCTGGTCATTACACTATTTTCGCTTATTGTGTCAAAATAAAAGTGCCTTGCAGATATTATGATATACGCTGTACGGACAAAAGTATTGGAACACGTTTCTTAATGATTGAATTCAGGTGTTTCAATTAGACCCATTATTGCCACAAGTGTATAAAATGAAGCCATGCTCGTTCACGGGGAACGAGTGCCTTATAGGGAAAACAGGCCCAGTCCCAGTGTCCGGACTCAGATTTCAAGGTCATTGAGGTGTGGAGTGGTTTTGCCATCTCTGGGAACCCCTCTCAGCAACCACCAGTAACTTGGAACTGCCCACGCTTTCCCCCTGGACTGCACATCGCACATGCCACTGAGATGAGTGCGCTTATAGCCTACTTAGTTTGCACTTTAACGTACTTGCAGATGCAATGATTTTGATTATCTTTATTAATGTTTTCTCAAATTGACCACTAGATTCATTTTGCAGATAAAGTTCTGTGACTGACTTTTGTAATAATGTAACCTTTTTGTTTAATGTATGCTTGTATATAATCCTCCAAGATTATCACAAATCATCAGTGTGACCGCAAACATTGAGGCTAATAGGTGCTCCCCTCTTCAGTAGGCAGCAATCCTGCTGCTGTTTGCTCACAAGCGGCAGTTGGGCCTGCATAGATATATTGAATATGAAGACTGATCTAACTTATCTAGGAAAGAGCATTGTTAGGTGTAGGCCCAGAATTAGTTCTAAAGACAGTTACTGGTGATATTCATGGTAGTGTGAAAAGGGTGTTTTGGTGCATAATTCCTGATTTATGGTAGGTAGTTAGTTGGTAGGTTTTTCTGGATTTAATATATTTGTGTATTTAACAGTTTCTGTGTGTGTTAAACCTGTTCTGTCCATGTCAAAATTCCTTTATTTATAATAGTACTAAGGTAAGTCTACGGTGTAAATGGGTTGTTTTGACAGAAGTAATACATGATAAAATCTTTGGGTTGTTGTAAAACTTTAAAATAGATCAAGAACCTAAGGCAAAGACAAAGGATCCTCCCCTTTACTATTCCAAGGGTGGTGGGGGCGCGACATGGTTAATGGTACAAGTATTTACAATATGGAGAGGAGGAGAATTAAAGCAGAAGTGTGTATGTCTACCTGACAAATATCACCACCTGGTGCATCAAACTGGGAAGAACATGTGATAGAAATGACATTGAAAGGCTGATATGTAATTGATTAATCAAAAAAAAAAAAAAAAACCTCGAACTGTTTATTCAGAATAAGTTTAATATTTTGAAAAAAAAATAATCTTTATATTAATTCAAACTTTACACAAAAAAAAATCAGAAAAAGATATGCAATATCAACAAAGCCGAGATGAAAGTGTAAACTGCAGACTAGATGAAGATATTACAAGAGGACAGAACAGACATAATAGCCCTAATCTTGAAGTGAGACAAGTACATTGGCATTAATGTCAATACAAATATCAGATCAGACCAGTAGATTCGTTATCCAGTTTCCTGCCATTGGCACAGATTGGCTCACTTAACATTTGGTGTACTTAAGAAATTGACATACATGTGTTTTACATGAAAAATTACAAATTGCTTCACAAGGTAGAGATGCTGTGTAGATGGGATGCAAAGGGGTGGGATGAGTCATTCTCCAAAATCTTTGAAATAGAGGAGGGTGGGGGGAGGGGGTAGCCACAGATCAGCACACACAATGTGCTTTCACAGCCCAAAAAGGTTGCATATGATCATGAAATTGCCCAAATGGGTCAAAAATAGGCTGTATGAAAACAGACTCTTCAAAATAAACAAAGGAGAATGATCTTTAACACCCCTGGTTCTTCTGCTCAGAAAAAGATGGCTTCTGCCATAAAAACCACTGCAGACCTTCTACATCATTCCAAACTCAGTTTTGGCCACACACCACTTAGTACAGTGATTTATACATAATTTCATAGTCAATGCCATTTTCACTGTTTAAAAAACATCTCACAAAACCATTTAAAAACAACATCTGGCTTTTGCCAGTTTGGCAAACTCCAAAGGGAGGTAAGTCCACTGAATTACACAAGCACATTTGTTTGGAATGGCTGAAGGTGATGCTTTAGCCAGGCTGGTTTGGATGGGTGGTGTTCCATCTTGTATCTGCCAATACCACCAGGGGAAAGAGCACTAGTTTCCCCACCAGAACGCTGAATGAACTCCGACATCACGCAGAACGCAGTTACCATCCATTTAAAACACAGTTGAGCACTGCTGATATTTTGTCCTTTGAAAAGTGCAGACTGAACATTCCAATAGTAGTTTGCACTGGAGGTACACGAAACTGGACTGACCTTTTCCTGAAATGCACAGTGGTTGTACGCATGTGCATGTGTGCACAAGTGTTTAGGTGTGTCAAGAATCGTTTGTTAAACACAAAGTAAAAGACATTTGCAATGTCAACCGTTCCCCTCAGTCTCCTCTTTTCGTGCGATGGGAGTGTTGCATGCTGCTAATCCTAGGAGCTCTTCAACAGGAAAAAAAAAAAACACGTGACACAAACGTTATGAATCAGCTGCAGCAGCTCAACAGATCCCTAACCTGGGACACACCTCTGAGAAAATATTCAAACAGTTTATGGTTACTTGCCCACCTCAACCCATATACAAAACTGCACACAAATTTCCAGTAACCAAAGATATTCCAACATTTTACGCTGATAAAAAAAAAAAAAAAAAGTACTTCTTTCCTATCAGCACCAAAAGGTCACTAATGGCTACCACACTACCAATGCTCTGTTCCCTATATTCCACCAAAACCGCACAGGACAGTACTGCATCACAGCACCTCCTAAATCAGGAAATGTAAACCCACCATAAATACCAGCTATCATTACTTTTCAAACATTATATTGACTGCTGGATTAAATGCATCGAACCACATCACTCATCACAAATATATGAAAATGATTTGACCTATTATTTCAGTGACTATTCCAGTAGATCAGGCTGGCTTTGATCAATAAGACAAACACAAACTAGAAGGCCACTCAAAAAGATCACAAGTTTCCTAAACTAAACCCTTCCACCTCACGTTCGTGCAGAGACACAAACACTAGCAGTATGCAATCACTGCTTCTCCACGAAGTGCTTCTGACTGCTACCTAATCAAAGTCAGCCCACAGCTTGCTCATGCCTACACATCTCTTGCGTGCTGTTACCAGCAGGCAGGAAACACCTCAGAGGACATGCTTTCAAGATCAATACCAACCTCACACACTACTGTCAATATTGCTTGTAAAAGACAACTGTCACATACACTGAATTCGACCTTCACCCATTTAAAGAAATGACGAGTCACAGCTTTGCTGGGAGGTTAATTCAAGTTTGAGTGTGTTTATGTACGTATATGTGTGTGCGCGTGCGTGCGTGCGTGTGTGTGTGTGTGCGCACAGAGCTCTGTGATCTGGCTGAACACATGTCCATCTTCCTCGTCCAGCTCTCCAGAGATGTGACACTGCACGGTCCAGCAGGACGAATGCCCAGTTAAACTCACGATCATGAGCATTCAACTGATGTGCAGATCTGCTCCCCAACTGGCTGCTGGGAAAACAAATCACCTATTGCAAAAATGGAGCCCTTTGTATCATAAATTAGTCTTTTTTTTTGCCTCAAGGGTGTATGACTTCTCCGTTGTGCGAGCATGCTTTGGCTGGACAGAGTTAGGTGGATCAGCCATGCGGAGCAGGGGGAAACATGCGGGGCTTCCGGTGTCTGATCCAGGAGCCTCCCCCGGCTCCCGGCTCTTCCGTGGCACTACCTCGAGATCATGGAGCTGGACTGCGACTGGCTGGATGCAGTGGTGGCAGCACTGAGCTGGGAGAAACCGCTGTGACTGGATTCCAGGCTAGTCATCGAGCCCCTGGGAGACGGGGAAATAAAAAACACAAAAGGAGAATAAGGAGCAGCCCCTGGGGGTACCTGAGCTCGGTGCAGAGGAAACAAAGAAAGGAAGGGAGAGGTCAGATGAAGAAGCAGTGCCAGAGGTAAAAGCACGTCCCCCATGCTCCCGCTTCTCGTTATTCACATGGGACACAAGCCTTAAAGCCGATGTCAGTCATGCCCAAGTCAAGCAAGTTCGCAGGATGCCATTTCGGAGGCGGAGCATAGTTTGAGGGCAGCTGGCTTTATAAACAAACCTAAAAGCACTGTTGTGTGCTCATCTCATGCACAAGCACAACAGCACTGATCCTGCTGGGGCCATGCCCCTATGGCCAGCGGGACAAACTATTAATGCCCTGCTTCCTGGTGAGTAGCTGCCCCATCGACCTTCTGCTTCAGCTCCCAGCACTGACCGAGACAGACGGAGACTGACAGGGAGAGATTCAGGGACGTTCAGATAGGCACTCCTTCAGAGCAGAGCGGAGTGAGGGAGGGAGAGGGGGCGCACGGAGAAGCCAGTACACCGCAACGCAACCTCCAACACACTGCAGGAACCCCTCCCCAGCTGAGGCCGCGCACGGGAACCAACACCGGGGCCACACAGCGTGTGAGCGAGATCCTTATCGGAGGAATGATCTGCAGCTACAACTAATAAAGAAATAAGCCAATCAGCTAAGTAAGTGATGCAAGGCAAAGCTCTAGCAGAGTGTGTGGAGATGTTGTGAAATAGCTCACACAAGCCGAGACAGGAAGCGAAAAAACAGGCAAAAAAATGATAAACAGGAAGGTGGCTGGGGACCCAGACTGAAGCCCAGATGCCACAGAGCAGCCCCTCGGATGACTGCTTCAAGGAAGTCAGGCTAGCTAGGAATGCAAATACACTTACAAACTCTGCACATCGCAGCAAGCATTTCTTTAGCAGGGAGAAACAAAAAGGACATATTGGGTAAGAGTGCTTCCACAGGCGGCCGGCCATACTTCACACGACACAGAGGCACGACGATGCAGGTCTTTGCTGGTACCTGAACTGTTAATCTGAGCTGATGCGCTATAACCTTGGAGTCGTGCTCCAGGTTTCAGATAAGATTACAGCACAGAACCCTTCAGTATCTCATAAGACCAAATAACACTATAAAACAAGAGGGCTGTAATAAAGTAAGGAGAGCCTAGTTTTTATGGTATATATTACACACTAGATTACTTATATTATTGACCTGGTGTAATTGGAGGACAGGACTTCGCCTGTGCAGACAGACAGACAGGCAGGGCGGGCGGGCGGCTGACCTGAAGTCCTCGGAGCCCAGCACTTCTGTGTAGTACATGACCTTGCACTTGTGGCTGGAGACCTGCAGGGTGGCCAGAACGTCGTCCACCCGCGGCAGGTTGGTGGCTGAGCAGGCCGGCATGCTGTGGAACTTCCACTGCAGGATGTAGAAGCCCGGCCAGCGCGTGATGTGGGAGCCCTGGGAGGGGCACGGACGGGCCAGGGGGTAAGTACGGAAGCCAGGAGCACACAGTGACAGGCTGAGGCCGGTGGGCGTGGCCCTGGTCTCACCTGCACGCTCTCGCCCTCCTTGCAGGTGAGTGGTGACTCCACCATGCTGTAGTCCTGGCCCAGGGTCCATGACTTGTCGATGAGCTGAACATTATTTCCCCCTGGGGACGTGATGACGTGAGCGCTGAGGGTGTCCTTCTTAGGGGGCTGTGGGGCCCTCTTGGAGTGGAAGATGTTGAAGACCACATCGCCTTTGCAGACATCAAAGTCCCATGTGATGACAGAGGCTGCGTCGATGATCTCGATCAGTAGCTGTTTGGATGATAAAACAACAGATACCTTTTAATTAATGCTTCTGTCCTACTAGCAAACTTCCACCTGATTTTAAGACGATATACATCAACAGAGGAGGACCCCATTTTACATGAACTATTTTGCCCCAGAAAAACATACCAGTAAAAACATTACACCACATGGCCACTGGGTGGCAGCATTCCACAAAACAATACATCAGAAGCACCAAACTGCATCATTCTACACAAAGTGTCGCAGAGCTGAGTTAATAGCAAAGCCAGCACCCAGCGAATGGCTGCAGGATTACCTCATGTGGGGACCCCTTGAAGACACTTGCACTTTGGTAGATGGTGTCCGTCCACAGGCGGATGTCATCATTCTCCAGTTCCTCTGCTGTCCTGTACATGGACTTGGGGACGAGGCCACCCTCTGGGATCTCGCACTGAAAAGGGGGGAGGTGAACCATAAGGCCCGTCAAATCATTTGCTTCGAAAGCCCCAGCGCAGCAACCGAATATGCTGCACCCCCCCCCCCCCCCCCCCTGAGCCTGCACTCACCATGCACTCTCCTCCCAGAAAGTCTGGGATCACCTCCTTGTCTATGTAGTCTACAAGGCCTCCTGGTCCTTGGTAATCGTTGCCGGCATAGATGAGGAATTTCTTTCTAGTGTTCTCATCAATAAAGGGACTGACCTGCAAGAAAAATAAAGGTTCATGAGAAGGTAGGAGGGGTTCGGCCGTGCTGCAGGCATGCAACCGACAATGACTGTATTACACACATTCATTTTCTTCTAAATTCTCACACAGTTCAGTGGACTTGGTAACTTACCCACATTGAGGTGTGAACACAAAAACAAATTAAACTGGTTCCACGGAGTGGGGAAGGGAGAGGGAGGGGAACATAATGTCCCCTATGGCTTGGAAATATTTACTGTGACATAAACATGTATTAATGCAGGATAAACTGGTCCCTCCAGAAACCGGCACATCCACGAAGGCCAGGCGATTAGTTTCAAGGAACTGTATCTGACTGGAGAGACGTGCTCTATGGTCACGTCGCTGCTGCAGGGACTTGGGTCTCACCAGGGTCCAGAGTACGGGGAAGACTCGCGGCGCCCTCAGGATGAGCAGGCGGCCCAGCGTCTCAGGGTAGTTGGCCTCCACCACCTCGATGATGCGCAGCAGGGCCTTGACGCCCGGTCGCCACAGATGCCTCATATTGAGGCCCTCGAGGTCCACCAGACATGTCCAGCAACTATGGGAGAAGTAAAGGGGTAACATGTAACCCTGTCACATCGCGGGATCATGATAGTCAGCTGGGTTGAAACTATCAAAACGTGACGGAAAACGTGTCATGGAAAAACATTCGATGTCCTCTTTAAGGAAACATTCTGAATTGCATAGAGAGGATATTGAGCAATATTGAGTGCTTTGTTGGCACTGCTTTGGCTCTGCTGGCACAAGTACTAGCAACACCACCAACTTAGATAAAGTAGATAAAGTTCTATTTGGTTACAGTTTACTTCTGGGTAAATTTTCAACTCTTTTATAAAGAGATAAGTATTGCAATATTTGGTACCGCTTTACATTACGTGCACCTTCATAATGCTTTTATATTGCATTCATAAAACAAACAGTACATCTTCATAATGTATTCATTACATTATAACATTATACATTCATAAAACATTCATAATCATCATGCAAGTACACCTTAACATCCTAACATCCCTTAAGAGCTGTAATATACATTAATAACAAACATTATATAACAACAAACATAATTGTATAATCATGTAATGTTTGTTATTAATGTTTGTAATATTTCAATGTGAATTTTTTCCAGTACCATTAAGTTCAAGTGCACCGCTTTACATGGAACTTTCAGGCAGGCGCACAAGCCCAACCAGCCAGAAAAAGAAAGAAAAAAACACCCCCCAGCCACCTTCGTCCTCCACAATGCAGATAGCCTCACTACACGTCTCTACTGCAGCCCCCCCCTCCCGAAACTGGCTGTGAGCGGCAGGGTGATAAACGCCCGCGACAGATAGCGGCTCCTCGGTACAGACTGTGACGACGTGCGGCTCAGCAGAAATGAGGCCATGGGAAGTGATAAGACAAGCAGGCAGGAGGCTTTAATGCTCCTTCTACGGATGGAGTGCGGCGTGTCGGCGGATGAGGAGGCGCGGAAGGCAGCCCCACCTTATAGGCCTGCCGAAGACCTTGGTGTTCTCCTCGCAGCGTCTCAGGCCCTCCTCGTTGATGGAGAGCACCTAGGGAGAGACCAGAGTTACGCACGGGGTTAACGGCCGATGGGCCGATCTCCGGCAGGTCACGTGACACGAAGGCCGGGGGCTGCTTGGCACTTACGTGTCTCAGAAGAGACTCCTCCCCAAGGGCACGGACCAAGCCCTTGGTGTCCATCTGACCGAGGCGAAGGATATATAGGGGACGGCCATCTGCGGAAAAACACGTGCTGTGAAAATGCGATCTCTGCGTGTAGCAAGCCGATGTTAACGTCCATCAATCCATCTTCCATTCTGCTCACTGTGTCCACTGGCAAAGAACAGGTCTGACAGAAAGCCGTCACAAACACTGACCACACAGCCTTATCAAAAAGCTAATTTCACACAGGGCTAAACAAGCACCACATACCTTAATGCATGGCAGTGCTTAGAATGCATATGGGCTCTATTCATAGAAGTGGGTGAAGGTAACAGATAGTGTGAAAGCATGGAGCACAGGCTGTAAACTGCTCTCCCCGGGACGCCATTGGACAGCTGGTGTGTTGCCACAGATCACATGACCTGCCATATGCCCGTGAAGAGCAGCCCTGTGATCATGAAAGACCATGTAAGGCGCTGAAAGAACAGAGCGCCGACAAGGGAGGTCGCTCTCTCTAATCTGGTGGCCCTTCATGCAGGTGCCAGAAGAGAACACACCCCCTGGTATCCACCACAAAGAGGGAAACAGCGCTGGGCTCCCGGTGCAGGAGCGAGCAGGATGAGGGTCGAGCCCGGCACGAGTGATGCTGGTTTGAACGCACAATACAAAAGCAGGAAGGCCTGGACAGCAAAACTGAAAGCATAAGACGCATTACACCAGGCTTAATGCTGCATTCCATTTACCTCGGAGGTCAGAGGTCAGAGCTAGAAATGATGTTGCACCAGTCGCACCAGAGTGGTTTATCTATTCTAGCCAGGTTGCTTGTTAGGAACACCAGGAGATTGCGCACAATACCGTGGGATGCGTTTACAAATACTGCAGCAACACGTTCACAGAAAGCGACTGGACAGTTCTATGTGTACGACGAATTTAATGAGCCACAAATAAAACCGTACATAACTACAGCTTTACTTGCACTAATGGGGACATATTGAACTCTGAGGTCGGAATCGTAGAGGTTCTTCTTACTTTCCGAGTCGGAAGACTGACTTGAAGGAACATTCCAGTTGAAATTTCCAACAAGTAACACAAATTCCGACTTCCGAGTTCAAATGGAACGCAGAATGACTTCCCTGACAGCCTGGCCACAGAAGCAGGCCACTGCTGACACACGATGCCCTGATCGTACCCTTGTCGTGGTGGTGCCAGCCGCCTGTGTAGTGGTCCTGCAGCACCTGCGGGGAGTTCCAGGTCTCTAGCAGGTAGTCCACCTGGTGCAGCTTCCTCCAGGTGAGGGACTGGCACAGGATCTCGCGAGCTTTGTCCATGTTGAAGTCGCGGGCCCGCAGGAAGCGCAGGATGTGCTGGTCCTTGGGAATCTGCGGACAGAACCGGCCCATGAGCTGGGGGAAGGGTGACAGGGGGCCGAGATCGCACACAGAACAGCCTGATACCCCTTTGTTTTCCTCCTACAAGACAAAAGCATTTTGGAGAACAAACGAAAGGTGCCAGGAACCTTATCAGGTTTCATGTTCTGTTGGGACAAGGTTACCACGTTCCTGAGAGCCTACAGGGATTTCCTGTAGAGGAGAGAGGAAGGTCAGGTGGCTGTGTGAGCTCACCTTGCCCTTGTGGGTCTCCTGTAGCCACTGGCGGAGGCGAATCAGGCAGCTCTCCTGCAGGGGCGTCAGGTCTCCCAGGTATCGCTTGATGTAGTCGGCATCCAGCTTATCTGAAAACGCCCACAGCACGAGACCCTACATGTAGGTGAACTGCAGAACTCTAGGGGCAGAAGTGTAATTCTGGGACTCCCCCATCCTCAACGGCAAGTCGGGCTTCCTGACGTGGTCCTGCTGCAGGAACCATCCACTCACCGTCGGGGGTCCCGGCCAGGGGCTCAGCAGGGCTGCCCAGTGGGCTGCTACCAGTGCCCTCGCCGCTGGGGTTAGCGTCCCGAGTGCTGGAGACCGGGATGGCAATGGATGGCGTGACCGGCAGCTCGAGGCGGGCCGGAGTGCTGGAGGCCACTGGGAAGGCAGGGGCGGGGGCCCAGCGTGGAATGTGGGTCACTCCCTCTTCCTCCAGCTCCTTCATGTAGAACTCGATGATCTCTTTTCCCTGGAAGGGAAAAACATTCATTAAGTGAAGCAGAGATGGAATGTTCTGGGGGCCCATGATGTGTTTACTCTGTCTACTGGCACTGCCCTAACAGAACAGGTACAAGCCACGGCACGCCGAGAACCGAGAGGGCTCCGCAAACAAGCGGCCACGAGATTCTGTAGCGTGACTCCGTTCCGCCGCGTTCCCTCACACACTCCCCCGGGGATCAGGGAGATGAGGTTATAGTGCTTATAGTGACGGGTCCAGTGTCACACGGGGCGGGGCACGCTCGCTGAGCAGAGGGGCTGCAGCCCGCCCCCTCACCTTTTTGATGCTGCTGGCATACTGCTTCATCGCGATTTTCTCCACAGTGCTCTCAAACCCAAAGAAGGACTTGATGTCCAGGCTGGCAGACTGCTCAAAACACGTCCACTCCTCATTCTCCGGGTGAACCTGCGGACGCAGCAGAGATACCTGCATGACCGAAGTGCCCCAGGCTGTCTACGTGTAAAGCCAGCCGGCTTCGAGCAACTTAATGACACGGCAGCAGCACACACTCAAACCAACACTTAATTTGCTTAATTTGCTTGTTCTATGATGTCTAGAGAGAATATCTATAGCTTCAGTGCATGGCAGCAACCATTTCAATCTATTGCAAAACCACTTTCTTTCCTCTACAGTGGGCTGATTACTTGAATACAGGTAATATACATAAACAGAGTTGTGTATGCTCTCAGGCGGATCCATTTAATGCACATTCCAGTGCTACAGATCTGACCTGAAAAGGATGAGAGTAATGCTTTAAAATCCCCGTACAACCTATGACTGGCCTGGATTCACCCTGTTCCACAGGACAGCCCAGGAGTTTCTGACTGGAGGAAAGGCTTTGCAGAAACTGGGCCTGGGCCACAGTGATTCCATGGAGCAGGAATGCAGCACACGAGCAACTGGCTTTAATTATTGACACAAAGCCGACATACGTGGTTAAAAACCACCATTTTCATCTTAAACCAGCTGCTCAGACTGCGACTGCTGGAAGAGAGAGGTGCGAGCTGGGCGCACTGGGTGCACTGCGGAGCACTGGGCGTACTGCGGAGCACTGGGCGCACTGCGGAGCACTGGGCGCACTGCGGAGCACTGGGCGCACTGTGGAGCACTTCTCCCCGTGCCTGCATCCCTCCCCCTCCCCTCACCGAGTAGCAGCAGAGTTCGTAGATGACGACCCGATTGGAGAAGGTCTCATTGTGCGACTCGATGTGCAGCGTCCTCTCTCGGCGGTTCAGGGAATTCTTCTGAATGAAGTAGACATAATCCACGCCGGTCATCTGTAGGACAGGGGAGGATCAGCATCAGCAGATGGACAACAGGGAATTTGCGCGACATGATCGGGAAAGCAGGCCATGCCCAGTGAGTGTCCCATGCAGTACCCTCTTCAGTAGCCGGGGGGCGTCCACATCCAGCTTGCAGCGGCGCTCGATGTTGTGCGTGGCGCCGTCCTCGCTCTTGTGCTCGCTGATAACGTCACTGCCCACGAACATGGGGATGAGCGGACAGGTGGGAAATCGGCGCTCATAGGCCTAGGGGACATGGTGAGGAACCCGTCAGTACGGCTCCAGGAGGAGGAGGACTGAAATGGGTTTGACAGCTAAACAGGGCAACGGCTATGTACACTGCTCCTGAATACAGCACACACATGCAGTCACAGGCCCAGTGCTAAACCTCACATCATCCCACAGAGCGCAGGGTGAGACATGAACACTGGAGTGGCTGCCAGTCAATTACACTGCACAATGCGCACACACACGCAACGGGCAATTTTAGAGACACTTCATCTAACTGCAGGTATAGACTGCAAAACCTTAGTAAACACAGTCGAAACCATAAAAGTTATAGGTCTGCGGATATAGTACAAACCACTGAGCCACTGTACTGCCCTTCAAATACTGAATGACTGCATCAAAGGAGAGAGGAAAAAAAAAAAAGGAAAAAACACACCATATAAGCGACTTCCTTCAGAGAGTATGTGGTGTGTAGACAGTTATACAACTGGCATGGTGAAGGAGTCAGACAGGGAGTGACAAACTGAGAGATCACTCACTGCCTGGGTGTCCACGGAACGCTTTAGTGCCAATGGGTCACACCACATTGTCTGCCACGAGCACAGCAGTGGGTTCTCACCTGTTCTGCAGCTGAGAAAAGAAACCCAGGGGACCTTAAATGTGATCTTGCCAGGAGAATATTTTTTTCTGGGCCCACAGAATTCAAGGGGATTACACTTTCTGACATTAAACCATCAGCAGCAGAGGACACAGGTCTGCGTGGCCTATTAAAGCCCATGGTACTCCCCAGGCCACCAAGAAACAAGCAGCGCAAGGTCACTGTTTGGAAGGGTGTGCGACCTGAGCAGGGTCTTAGGTGAGAGATGGAGAAACGAGAAGGATAAGGATAGCGGAGCTTCACCAAGAATGGGGTTCGGTGCTGCGCTGACCCAGAAGCAACATGCCGAGAGGAGGAAGGGCAAAATGCTGCACCAGGCCACTCCCCCAGGCTGAAAACACAGTGAGGCCCCCGATGGTCTAATGCAGCAATTCAACTGGCTGGGCGCGAGGGCTGAGCATGGCGTTCTGGTGCCAGACTTCGACTGCGGCTCCAGTCAGCACAAAACATCCTTCTGACCGTGAATGCAAGCTTGTTTGTGGGAAATAAACAATGGGGGCACGTGGGAGGGACTTAGTTAAAGGTCGGAATGAAGGGCACAGAGACAGAGGATATAAAGGAGGGGAGAAAAGCAAATGAAAGATTCTCCTCATATTACTAAGGAGCTTGAGCAGGGATTTTCCAACCTGGGGTCTACAGAGCAGCTGCAAGGACTTGGCAGAAATGTCTCATAATTTGATGATATGTCGAAATGTGACAATGTGTTAGTTGTAGGAGTTCTCTAACTGAGGTCTGTCTGTGTTTAACTGAGGCTCCCTGCTCTAAGAAAGGCTGAAAATCCCTCAGCTACAGTGTATCGCACAAGCAGAGACAAGTGATAAGTAAATAAACATAAACATGGCTGCAGAGAAACCAAGATCAAAGCAGCCTAGTGTATGCACACCTTTGAAATAATACAAGTGTGGGTGATGTTCATATGAAGATCAACAATCCACCCCGAAAACAGCTTTAGGGCAGTTCAGTGGTTCACTTCCACTAGCTGAGGACAATGTAAGGTTTGAAAAGGGCGTTTCAGGCCACAAGGCAGCTAAGATGACCGACTTTACCGGCTCAGCTAGGTCCAGGATATTCACAAGTAAACCCCTCCCTTTCCTTATAGGTTGTCGACAGGAAGACAAACATTTCCAGAAAGTACTAGATATTTGATGGCGGGCAAGTGTCCCTGGATGCCCTCCAGTCTCAAGGGCCGTAGCAAACGGAAATGCTGTCAAGGCTGCAGTGCTCTCAGTTTACAACATAAGGAAACAGATACCGTGAGGACAACCAAACATCTTTACTGTATTACAAGGGAGACACAGCAGGAAACAACAGGGGAAAACCCGTATAAGGAAAAGCAACAGGGAGAGAGACCATGCAGTGTCTTGCATCAGGGTCACGAGCCCCTCGCTCCGCAGCGATCTGAGTTTCCACATGGCTTACTTTCTGCATGGTGAGACAGATATAATTGTGTTTGGAACTATTCACTATAAGAAAAGTGAACCAGCAGAGCACTGCTGCCGTACTTAGCATTAGCAAAATTCCGGTCAAGTTCAAATTCAGTGCGGAGAGCACCATGACCACATCCTGGAGCGTGCACCGAACAAGAGGACAGATCTCCCTATGGAGCCGCCCACCTGCCATATCGGTGTGTCACGTGAGATGCCTGCAGGGCCGGGGGAAGGTCAACAGCTGCTTATGAAAATTTGTTCCCAAACCCACAAGAACAGAGCTTCTGTAGCAGCCGCCTGATCTTAATGGTGTGTCTGCATGTGGACAGAACCGGCCCATGAGCCAGGGGAAGGGTATCAGGGGGCCGAGACCGCACACAAAACAGCCTGATGGGGGTGGGGGGGGGTTGAGGAAAGCCCCCTTTGTTTTCTTCCTACAAGACAAAAGCATTTTGGAGAACAAACAAAAGGTGCCAGGAACCTTATCAGGTTTCATGTTCTGTTCCCAAACCCACAAGAACAGAGCTTCCGTAGCAGCCTCCTGATCATAATGGTGTGTCTTCATGTGTCAACTGCCACCAAATACCATCAAAATGCCCAACACCCAAAACACCAGTCAGCAAAATAAACTGTGTGCAGGGTATTTTCTGGTTCTGCATGAAGCACTTATGAACAAAAGAGGTTTAACTCGTCGAACTGCACAAGAAACCCACCCATACAAGGTCTTTCAAAGACACTTAAAAAAACTGAATGAAACAGGCAGCATGTGGTTTTGCTGGCTTTAAATGACCATTTCATGCTGAGCTACCCTGACATTACACTTAGCAGGGTCCCATACACTCTCCCCATTAGTCAAACACATGCTGCACAGCCCTCAAACCGATTCATGAGTCATGCTCAACGTGCTACCAACTGTTGAAAGCTCTGGGTCTGTCCGCCAGGACTATGAGCAGCTATACTCTGCAGGTGGTTGAGACCGCGGTGCTGTCATGTGACTGCATTTACATGGCCATTCTACTCACCCTGCTTCTTCTCACAGGACATATTGACAAGTGATCAATAAGTCATTATTGCCGCATTAAAACGTAAAGCAGCAAAAGCCCCATCAATGAGGGACTCATGCACAATGCAGGACCGCTACCACCTTCCCGTTTACGCAATTCGCCTGCAATGATGGTAATAACTAGGAAGGTCAATCTATCTTGCGGCATTTTCAAGCAGAAAATGTACAAAACAGGGTAGAGCTACTAATAAAGGGCTTAGCAACGAGCTGCTCATATGCTGAAACCTGACAAGACAAGATGGGCATTTGATTTCCCTGCAATTCACTTTCAGGGGCTTTAGCACAGATTGGCTCAGCAGTGGCTAGGAAAACATATTTCAGTGCACCCTCTCCGAACACGCGGAGCGATGCTATTTTCACACTGTACTTCCTGAACACAGTTCAGGAAAATGATTCAAAGAACGGGCTGCACAACTGCACAGCACAGCAGAGGACAAAATGTGTGCCATCTGCTTCAAAACAGTGGCCCTTTGACCAGTCAGATCTTGTAGCCACTGCAGAAAAATGACAGACCGCAACGGAGAAAGAACAAGCACTGGGTTTATGCATAGAAAGAAAGGTTTCAATCAAGGGAGCTATAATGACTAAATGGTGAGCAGAACACTCACAGCATTGAGAATGTGCAATGCGCGTGTTTGTGTGTGTATGTGTGCATGTTGTGATATGCAGCCTTCAGTGGTCAGTTCCACACCAGAGAGTTTAGGAATGCTAGAGCTCATGAGGAAATTAAAAAGGGACCAATACCGCAGGTTCACGGCAGCGCCAAAAGCCCCAGGCTAGCCAGGAGCACTGAACTGCATGAGCGAGTGTAACCAGGAGCTGGGGCTGGTGAGCCAGTGATACAGTGCCAGTTTCGGGAACAGAGAGCGGAAGCGAAAACGGGAGGGAAGCAGCTCTCGCAGTGCGGTGCGTGCGTCATTACGGCAGACACACAGAGCTTCTCCGGTGCCGTTTGGAACTACTGGTCTCACAACGCTGTGCATTCTCCGTTTCTCAGAACCTGGTTACAGAAGCTGAGAGACCCCACACCACAGTGAAGGCGGGGTCTCCATTCGCCAGCTGAAGGGGTTCGCGGCAGTTTAGGGGGATTCAGTGTCAGAAAGGCAATGATGAGGTGACATTTCTATCCTATACTGATCATTATGGCTGAGACAAACGCTGCCTGTGCTCAGCTGGGGTGGGACCCAAAGGAGCTGATAAACAGCTCAGAATTCCAGCAATGGGCAGAACTCTGTTCCCGGTAACATCCTGGGGGAGCCAGAAGTGACAGAGATTTGCCGCTACGGCGGTGCAGTAGAAGCCTTACAATCGATCTCTCTGTGACACGCGTCACTGCATGAGACAGCAGGAGATAAGTGGTGCTGGGCGCTGCAGAGTGCAGGATTTCATGGGGGGAGCACTATTCATGGACAACATGGGGAACCATACGGGGAAGAGAACTGCAAGTGATAAAACGCAATTCCTCATTTTCTAGCAGGAATTTTACGAAAGCAAACTTCAAGAAAAAAAAATGGCAACCCTGAGAACGTCAATTCTATACGTCATTTTCTAGGTAGTGTAATAACAGCCTCTGGGTATTATTTTGTCAATCAAGAGAGAAAAATCTAATTTCTACAGCCCATCGAAAATTTCAAATTTGATTCAGCTGTTGTTGTTTACCGATGATTCACATACAAATGAGGCATTTCCATTTCACCGCAACTTTTGCATGTTTGTCAGGGGCAGAGGCTTTAGCTATAAGTTTAACAGAAACAATGTCTTTGTGGAAACTAGACTAACAGTCACCCTCTCACAGAATACACCCTGGAGGAGACTGACTCATATGGTCACTTGAAAAACTTATATCTGGACTGCGGTAGAAAACTGAACAACAAATTGCACAAATAACTTTTTCGCTGCGCACAGGTAGCTATGATACAGAAAAATATTTGGGAGAATATGCAATACACACAGGGAATCCTTCACCATCATTCATAAAATCGGACATACAAACCTTGAGGTAATGCAAGTGTCAGCTTTCACTGCAAAACAAATCATTGGTCTTAAAAGTGCTTCTTCATTTTGTGGTAGCTGCTACTTTATTAGGCTCAAGATACTGACACTGCAGTTTATGTACCACTGTAATCCAACTGAAAATGTCTGCCTGCCAAGATCAACCCCCCCATGCTGAGGTCCACAAACATAAGTCCCCCCACACACAATGCATCACTGGTTCAAGATATTAACCTGTCATGGAAAACCCTCAACACAGCACAAGGTTTTGCCAGAATGCAGAATGCTTTTCATTCAGACGTAGAGGTTAACCGGTACAAGAGATCATGTTGGCATGCTGTCCGAAAACAAGCAGCATGTTTGAATCCTCACCTCAAACACTAAGAACCCTATGAATACACCAAGAGGCTGCATATAGAGTATAAAAAATAGGTTTCAGTTATTCATCTATTCTTAAGTCCCAGGTGCAATTGGTATTTATCTCTACATAAAGTCAGTTTAGCTGGATGCATTCGCTTCTCCACAATAGCAGGAAAGGAATTTTAATTGGCTGCTTATTTCCAACTCAGCCCCACCCCCATCCATTTGTTTTTACGCAGAAGCAACAAGAAGTCAGCAAATACCTAATCCAGGAAAGACGCCCTTTCTGGCCAGAGCGGTCGACACGCAATGGAACACCTGACACGCCAATGCGGATGCAGTGGGTAACATCCCCTCTTGGCCTGGATACAGAGGGCATCACGCCCTTAACACAGTAGATAATTTCAATTTAAAAAATTACAGTCTTGCCATTTTTTTAGCCTTACCCACAAAAAAGTTTACACATGTCCTGTCTCTCAGAAAATTACTGCAAATGTTTTCTTTTGTAGATTCATTTGATCCAAGTTTATTGGTTTCAGTCTTTGTCTTTGGGGGGTAGGAATCAGAAGCCTGAAATAACAATGACTGGGACACATACCTCTACTCCCCTGAGGGATCCTTTTATAAGCACTGCAACCAAAGTTGCCTTAGAAAAGCAACAGTTTTATCGGTTCAATTTCCTGTTATTCCCATTTATCTGGAATCAGAGGCAACAGATTACAGTAAAACCACCGGCGGGAGCTATTGTCATATTCCCTCCCCAATGCCCTGCAGGGATTCTGGGGGAAAAACAGAACAAGTACAACCCAATAGGAAAATGCAGAAACTAAGTGCTGTTTAATGCGTTCAACAATTTACTGCCAGACAAAGTCCTTAACTGAACAATACAACACGATGCAGCACAGACTGCATATTTAAAACTTAATGGATTTTGCAATATACCGAAACCAGCAAAAGCAAAGCAGATGTAAAAACTTGTCTCAGAAACCTACCCTATTTCACACCTTAACATCTTGAAAATCTGACCATGGAAAAATGTCAAACCGGGTATGACATAACTGCTCAAACCCACAGAAGACTTGTCATTAGTCACAAAAAGTCTGAGTCACCAAAGAAATACATAAGGTGAGACCACATCATACAGCCATGAGAACTGCTGCAATGTTGGGCATGGCATTTACAGGATAGGATGATGTTCCACTTGTTGTGGCTAAGGCTACACTCTTTAAAAGTCACTACAGTGCCTTCCTATTAACAGCCACACTACTAGCTACCCCGACGAATAAAACTAATCTTATTTCATTCGCTAACGACCATTTTATATGCCTGCTGATCTGTCAAGACATAAAATATTGCCTCTACCTTAAGAATAAAAAAACTATCGCAAACATAAGTGGGCCTATCAATGTTTTAAGTCTGTTTCGAAAGCTAACAGCATTTGCTATTGTTCCTAAATAAAACCGATCACTTAAGTTTCTTGTAAACATCAGTATTGAAAACATACGAGATTTCCACCAGCCATTTCAAAGCTAGTAGGAAGCTTTGGAGCAAGCTTAAACCTAGAATAATTCCAATGCCTAGCTTGGAAATCTGGAAAAAATAAATGAAGAAAGATAAATTACGAAAACAAACATACAAGGACACCCACACACACCTGTACTCATATCATTGTGGGGACTGTCCATTCATTTCAATAGGCAAAACCTTAATCCCAACAATGACAACCTGAACCCCCACCCAGCCCTAACCTTAACCATAAGTAACCCTTGTGGGAAACGTAAAAATGGTCCCCACATCAAAATAACAGGCTTTTAATCACATTGCGGGGACACTTGGTCCCCACAATGTAATGTATATCTGGAACACACACACACACACACACACACACACTACTGTTATGCCAGCAAAGAAGGATCACTGATAAGAAATAGTCTCTAGGTTGCAGGGTGATGGCTGTGTTTACTGGACATGCCAATGTCTAATCAAACTTCAGCACTTACTGAAAGTATCTGTGCCTCTCCTCTGCAGCACTTACGTCACTTGCTCTCAGACACGTTCTCTGATAGTTATGCAGACTAGGTCTGCTTCCATTAACAAGCCACCTTCCCATGATTTCGCACCAAACGGCTTCCAAAAGGATGCGGTCACATTTATTTTTAGATTAATGACCTAGTCCATATGTACACCCAGTTCTCAACACATTGCTTCCTTATGTTTATGGCTAAGGATACATTTTTAAAAACTGCATTTTTAAACACTAATTTTGCTGCTTGGAAAAATACATTTCACAGCACGCATTTTAAAAATTATGGACAGCTGTGAAGCAAAGAGGGATGAGACTGACCAGCACGATGCATTCCCAGTGCCAACACACAACTGACTTAATACTTTTCAATTCTGCCTTCGTAGCAGTAACAGAAGCGATATTTCCATAACAGCTAAACTATTGTTCTCTTACAGCAGCAACACAATAAGGTCTTTTACAGACATTCATCAGGCTTCATAAAGAGAAGGCAAGCAGAATACAGAGCATCTTGCAAGAAAAAGTCCATTTTTTCCTCATGGTGAGACTACAGAATATTTATTAGCCCAAAAATGGCTTTAGGTGTGAAATTTTCATCTCACCAATCATAAAATACACAGACACTAGTGTTAATATAGGAAGAGCTGGGGCTGCAAATTAACAGGAGAGAGCCACAAGCCAGAGAGCCACATTGAGAAACTCAGTCATGCAGCTATAACCCTGCATCTATGATTTCTCAATGTCAGCCAACATGCAACAAAACTTCCACAAACCATTTACCTTACTTTGCACAATCAGCAGACATGGCACTAGTAAGGGTGGAGTAAGTTTCATAAGAATTCCTTTCCACTTGTTTCTTGCTGCTCAAATTGTCATCTCTCTACAAAGGCTGCTCCCCAACCCTCCCCAATGCTCCGCAATGCTCCCCATTGTGCATGATCTAACCTGAAGAATGATTTTTCCTACACCACAATAAAAACATATCAATAAGCCACTTAGAACAATCAAATTGTCTGAAGAGCTATTTTGTAAATACTTAAATACGCAAACCTGTCAGACTGGATTTTTTTATCAACATAGCAGAGATACCAGAAATGACTTTACTTCCACCAGTGGAGATCTGAAAAAGAATCCCATACAAAAAAAAAAAAAACTATAGAAGGAAAAACTATTTGATTCACAAAAGTTCTTGTAAAAACAACCTAAAAGCATATTTCATGCATATTTATCATATTGTACTAATTGGTACCACATATAGTAAATGCTATGGTTCATGCTAGCTTCTAGGCAATTCAGGTAAATCAATGACGGAGAAAACATGACTGCCAATCTGCCATAGTAGGAGAAAAGCTAACTTATATAAAAGAGTTTTTGAAATCAACTTCCGCAGTGAGTACTTGCAAACGTTGCCTATGGCTTGAGCTATGCCGCGTTTCTTCTGCTTTTGGTGAGCTTGTGTTTAGAGCCTTCACACAGCAACTACCAGTAAACTGCAGTAGCCTCCCTCAGCTACAGATTCTTCAGTGCACCAAAAGGGATAAGAGATAAGCATCTGCTGCAATACCCCCCACGCTCTGCTCCGAAAACCCTTACCCACACATCGGCCGCATGCCGCCAGGAATGATGGCTATTAA